CAAGCCTATTTGTATCATTGCTTTTTACATTGGAATTTTTCGGCTAGAGAGGCTCAGTGACACAAAGCTTGCCCATCACTAAGGGAAAAAAAAAATCAAGCAATTATTCTGGATTACCTTTGTTTTTGTTCTACAATTATAATACCATGTTCGTGAAAACCATTAGAGTTTGTTGTTTTGTTTTGCTTTATATCTACAATAAAACTAAGGCAATATTTGAAAAGAACTTTTAGGTTTTTCACTTGCCTCAGCATTGCCTGTCACAGTGCCAATTCTTTCTTTCTGATTTTTCTTTTTTGATGTCTTTGTACCAAACTGCAGGCGCATGGCTTTAAGTATACAGTGCTAACCTTAGGGAATCTAAGCCATTAGTAGGACATGAGAGTGTTTCATAGTTGGAAGTTTCTTTGAGTGGTGGGAAAATGAAAAGATATGTTTAAATAAATATCAAATATGATGTTAGAAGAGTTTTCATGACACAGGAAAATATCTCTGACTCTTAAAAAGATTTATTTTATGTGTATTAGTGTTTTGCTTGCACATATATAAGTGTGCGTGCCTGGTGCCCAGAGAGGCCAGAGGAGGCTGCCAGAGCCTTGCAGCTGGGTTATGGATGATTATTAGCTACCATGTGGGTGTCAGTCTTTTGCAAAGCATTAAGTGCTCTTAACCCCCGAGTCATTTCCTCAGTCTCTATCTGTGACATGTGAACAAGAAATTATCAAGCAGAATGTAATACAATTTTGTTTTCAGTGAATATTTATATTCATATGCGTGTGGAAGGAGATGCAGGCGGTGTTTAGTTTCCCCACTTTGCTGATGGTAACTTGGCTGCTGAGATGAGGGTCAGGTATCAATCTGACCTGTCAAGTGTAGTTCCCGACTTTCCTGACCTAGCAGATGCTGATGGCTGTTTCTTTTAGTCTTTTGTTTTATTAGGATGACAAATAGTATTTTTAAAAAATTTTAAATTTTTTTGTATTTATTTTTCTTATATGAAGGAGGAGTTTCATCATTGCATATTAGATACTAAAATATAGTCTATATGGAAAAGGCAACTAAATAATTTATGTCCTTTATTCATTTTTTAGGGTAATAAATCAGTGTATTAGCAGGATTCAAGGATGGTGTTGAGGCTTTCTCTTCCTGTTTTCACTTTGAATATCATTCTGAATCAAGTATCGTTATGTATTTGAATTGTCAGCACATTGTAGCTACACTTTTTGATATCTCATTCTGTATCTGGACGCTAATCTTTTAAGAATCCCATTCTGGTTTTTGTTTCCCAGATGTCTGTGTATAATGCAGATCAGTGGCTATTGTGTGTTAGAGTAAGAATGCGGTGCGCCTGAATTCGTGCATTGCTGTCACAGCAGCATCAGAGGGGATGTATAATGCTTAAAGTAGAAAGAAGAAATTCTAAAGGAAGAGCAAGATAAACTCCAGGAAATGAGAATGATGAAGACAGATTTCAGGACGGCTAATAACTACAGAAAACAATAGACAAGAAAGAGTCCACGAAACTCACAGTTGGTTCTTTTTTTTTTTTTTTTTTTTAATTTATTTATTATGCATACAATATTCTGTCTGTGTGTCTGCCCGCAGGCCAGAAGAGGGCACCAGACCCCATTACAGATGGTTGTGAGCCACCATGTGGTTGCCGGGAATTGAACTCAGGACCTTTGGAAGAGCAGGCAGTGCTCTTAACCGCTGAGCCATCTCTCCAGCCCCTCACAGTTGGTTCTTTGTAAAGGGAAAGATAGCATTTAGTGAGACCAGGAAGAGTCTAACTTTCTTCCGCATAACCCCCTCTTTCTCTCTCACTAGGCATGCTAAACCTGCATACCTTGGGTGTGCTGCTGGGTAGTGTGGAAACTCTTGCTTTGAATTTTGCAAATCTGTGAGTTGAAGGCCCTGAGGTCTGGGAACTCCTGAGGCTGCTGAGGGTCACAGTGGGAAGCTGTGCCTCATCTCCCAAATGCTGGTACCCTGAAGTCTTATCTGGACTCCCTCGGAAGCATTGTTGATTCCCTTGAAATGGTGATGTTCCAGTGCTCACACTCATACCCTGGTGTCCGCCCTAGTGCAGACAGGTTGAGAGGTAGGGTCATAGACATCGGAGGGATTACAGAAAATGGACTTTTTAGCCTTCCGCAACCCTTAAGATTGAGGATCAGAGTCTCAGGGAGAATTGAAGTAGAACAGAAAGACAGGAAAAATTATGAGGCCATGAAGGGAAAGAGTCCTTCATGCCAACTGCCAATCGTGGACTCCCTAGGCTAAAGGCTACTGTAGGTGTCCTGCTCTAGGAGCAGGCACAAAGCCCAGGCTGTTTCCTCTCATTGGAAAACAAGCTGAGACCCACACCTTCAGCCGAGTTTATTCTTCTGAGTGCCCCTCCTTAATCCTCATGCTTCAGTCTGTATTAGAATATTTTTAGCTCCCCCACCCCCCAAAAAATGATTGACAAGAGGAAAAAAGAGAAGACACTGGCTACTGATACCAGGAACAAAAGGAACTATGTCACTATCATGTAGGTGTCTTTGCAAGAAAGTAGGAAGGTTGCACACAGTTTTCAAAAGTGTAGGTGAGATGGGCCACATCCCTGAAGTCCACACACTTTCAAAAACCTGGCAGCAATGCAGAAATGTCATAGGCATGGACATCTAGCTGTTGAAGACTAGAATTTATGGTTAAACCACTTCAAGAGAGAGCTCTCTTGGACAAGAATTGTTTCACTACTGAATTTCTCCAAATATGTAAAGAAGATTTACCAATTATAATCATTGCCAGAGAATGAAAGGGAAAATGTGTCAGTTAATTGCATAAAGCCACCATTACTGTTTCCAAAGCAGGACAGAGACAGTACAAAGATGAAAACTATAGGCTTATTTCTATGGCAAGAATGTAGCTATCCTCAACAGAACAGCAAATTGAATTCAGCCAGGCACGAAGAAGAGAACAATACACCATGACCCTGTGCAGCTTATCTGGCTGGTGCAGTATTTGGAAGTAAATCAGTGTGTAACCTACCATGTTAACAGTCTGGGAAAAAGATCACATGATCATCTCAATAGATATCTCCCCTTCTGAAAACAAAAACAACCCACCATCCTCCTTACTCCCAACCCACACACAGTCACACAAAGTAGAAAGAAACTTGCACCTGCTGCAAGGGGTCTGTACACGTCCGCAGCCACCAGTGTGGTTAATGGGAAGACTCTGCATTAGAGAGAAGTTAGGAGATTAAGTCACAGTGGTACACACCTCAGTCCCAGCTGCTGGCATGCTGAGGGTCGCTTGAGCCTAGGTGGTCAAGACAAGCCTGGGCTACGTGGAGAGACTTGTCTCCAAAAGAAAGATGGGAAAGCAAAGGGGGTGTGGAGATTGATGAGCAATGAAAAGAACAAAAGAGGGAAGGGAAAAAGAAAAGAGAAAAGGTAGCAGGGTAGAGTGCTTGTTGGAGGTTGCAGTCAGTGGGTTGAACAAGGAAATAAAAGTTAAGAATTGAGACCAAAGGAATGAAACCTTTCCTTATTTGGTGTATAAACCATTTTCATTTGCTGTCTGTTCCTTCGCCCATAGCCATCTAACCTGTGAGGAACAAGTCTGATGAAGATAGCCTTCCACACGTTCACCTTCGTGTATGCGATAGCTGAACCTATAGACCTTGTTTGTTTTTCTTTCATTGTATTTATGTAATTTTCTGATAGATTCCTGTGTCTCCCCATGATCTATACTGTTGGTCTAGGTGCCTGTTAAAGACAGGGCTTATGAAGTGACCGTGCGCAGTGTTCTGTGTCACTGGGCTCTTACGGTCTGCTCTCTTTGAGCCCCTGGCCGACATTAGTGCATTAGCATTCACATATAAAGGCTGGAAAGTGTGGTCCGTGCAGACAGCAACAGGGCGGAATTCCCAGGATGACAATTAAAAGACACTCCATCTTCACTTCAAGAGCTAAAAGTCTTCCTTACAAAAATGACTGCACAAACCATTTGATCAGTCACTCAAGGGTTGTCTGGCCTGGAGAATGAGCACTTCCGAGGGGTTGGCTTTCCTGCCTAGCACCTTTTAAGGACCGTAAAACAGGATAAAACAGTTGGCTCTTTGCAGGCACCAGGGGCCACCCTGAACACCCTCCATTTCTAGCTTATTAGTACTTTCTACAGTCCCAAGAGGAAGTGTGTGCTGGAGGTGATCCATTATGTAGATGAATTTCCTAGGTGACACTTGGAGGTCTAAGGCAAGACCTGAAATCGAGTCCTGCTGGCTAGGCTCTAGACAGGTTGTTCTGTACTGTCTGTCACTGCAGCTGACACCCAGTACCTACCACAGTCAGGCCCGAACTGGAGAGCCCCAGCTGTCACTACGTCTTGAAATGGTGATCAAATAGGCCTTTGTCAGGAAGCCAAGGGAGTTTGGCTTGCATACTTTTAGGAAATTTAGAGAGGAGGAGATACATAAGTTAATTGGGTTTTAAACCTGTGAAAAGACTATTGTAGAGAAAGTAACGAGTGTTCCGTATCAGCTGATTAACTGGGAGACAGACGGTGAAGTCAGTAAGGAGTGCTTATGCTAGAGGAGACGGATCTTGCTGGCGGGGCCGAGCAGAGCAACTGAGCAGAAGCTGGGATGCCCAGTGGCTCTGGCCCAGCTCCGTGGGTCGGCCGACTTGGGGACTCCTATTCATACCCAAGCTCTGCTGTTCTCTGGAAGAGCTATTCCAGAGAATGGCTTTATATGTGGCTTTATAACTAAAGACAGCTGGGCACAGGACCACATAGGGAGGGACCGTCCAAAGATGAGTTTCAGGCCCAGGTTTCCTGACACCAGGTTGGAGTACCTGCTGCATTTTAAAGGGGAGAAGCTGAAGAGGAGAGGGCCCTATACCACGGAAGAGAATTTCCTTGAGAATCTGTCCTGCTCTGTGAGGATCCGAAAGTGATACGGGAATGGGAGGAGGCGCTCAGACTCACCACGCATCCTTTTCTTTGTGTAGTATGAGCCCAGAGGACCTGGTCGGCCCTTGTACCAAAGAAGAATTTCATCTAGCTCAGCCCAGCCTTGTGCGGAAGAGGCAAGTGCTCCCCAAGGCAGTCTGGCTCAGGGCAAAGAACTGCAGGACCACAGCCGCCCGTCTGCTCTCAGCTTCCCAGCCCCTGAGTCCTGGGCTAACACCACCTCGTCTACCCCCTACCAGAACATTCCGTGCAATGGACCCAGCAGGACTGCTCAGCCCAGAGAGTTGATAGGTAAGAGGAATGGGTGAGTTTCTAGAAAGCCTATTTTGATTCCTCAGTGCCTCAATATTTATGGGCCTCTTTCCTGTCAGTCCTGCCCACGTGAAATCGCTCAAAAGCCACTGTGTCTTTGCAAGGGTGCATGGGTGCTCTCTCTCTATCTCCCCTCCCCTTCTCTCTCTCTTTCTGTCTACACACACACACACACACACACACACACACACACACACACTAGTGTTAAGTAAGTGGTAAAAGATTGGAAACGAAGCTATGTGTTGATGGACTACACCACTGCCTGGGAAGACAGGTGGAAATTCGATGTTTCCACGTTTTCCCTCTCATCTTCCATGTCACTTAGAATGTAACATTCTAAGTTATCGGTATATTGGTGCACACCTGCACCCCAGCACCAAGAAGGCCAAGGAGGAAGATCAAGAGTTCAAAGGCAGCCTAAGCTACATACTGAGATCTCGTTTGGAAAACTAAAACATTTCAGTGTAAATGTGCATTACAAGAAATGGGAGTGTCTGTAGCGGGTAGACCCGGTGCCCCTGAACCAGGTTTGCTGCTGCTACAAGTGTGTTCTGGTTCACAGTAGCCCAACTTCCCAGGCAGATGAGTGTTTATCTGTCAGCACACCTTCCAGCCTCTGTTGACATTGGTTTCTGTGTTGTAGACCAGGCTGGCCTCGAACTCACAGAGATCCGCCTGCCTCTGCCTCCCAAGTGCTGGGATTAAAGGTGTGCGCCACCACCGCCCGGCCTTTCTTGGTGATTCTTAAAGAAAAGGGGCTTAAAGTGTGGTTTTACATCCTATGGCTGAAGCTATGTGTGCTTGAGCTAAACTGCCCTTGCTTTCTCTAAGACCGAGGAACCCGTGTGCAGGCTGCGCTCCTGCGCCCCTGGTAAACCCTGTTCCTGTTCTCTGTTTCTAGCGCCACCCAAGACTGTCAAACCCGTTGAGGATCAGCTGAAGCCCGACAGCGCGGAGGTGTCCAGTTCCTTCAACTACACGGTGCTGCAGCACCTCGGCCAGTTCCCACCCCTTATGCCCAACAAACAGATCGCAGAGTCGGCCAACAGCAGCAGCCAGCAGAGCCCGGCAGGGAGCAAGCCCGCCATGTCCTATGCCAGTGCTCTGCGGGCCCCGCCCAAGCCCAGGCCACCACCCGAGCAGGCCAAGAAGGGCAGCGACCCACTGTCCCTGTTCCAGGAGCTCAGCCTGGGCAGCAGCCCGGGCAGCAACGGCTTCTACTCCTACTTCAAGTGACCGCGCTCTCAGAGTGTTCAGTTCCTATTTGTTAGTAGAGTTGAGGTGGCAGGCTCCTCTGTGTGCAGCCCTCTGCCCAACGCTGACCGCGCTCTCAGACCCTTGCTGCTAGACCTGCGCCTAAGTTTAAAAGTATATCCTATTATTTTGCATTTTTGATGTGAGTCAGAACTTTGACAGCTTTTATGTAGAATAAAAATATTTTTAAATTTGTGTATTGTTACATATGTTTGCATCAAGCTAGCAGCTAAGAGGTTAATTGTGCAACTATAAAAAAAGAAAAAGAAAAAAGTTTGTCTAAAATGTATTTAAAAAGAAAAAAATGTTAAGTAGCATTTACATTTATTCGATAATATTACCATACGCTGGGTTTCTGTACCAGAAATGGCCAGTTGATGTACAAATGGATGTTATTTTTGCTTAAATTCATTTAAAAATTTTTTTAAATAAAGGGGCAGCATCTTCTAAATACTTTATCAGTTTTTTTTTTTTTTTTTTTGTGACAGGATGCTGCATTCTAAAACTTTCAGAGTTTTAGACTATCTGTGACATGCTGTTCTCTCCATCAGCGTAGGGTAGAGGTCAAGGCCTTCTTTACCCATGTATTCTATATGCCACTGGGTTTTGAAATGTGAAAAAAAAAAATAAAGCAAAAGAAAAAAAACCCACAAAAAAAAAATAAAAAAAAAAACCCAAAACCTAGTGGCATACTTAGTTTTGGTTTGGTTTGTTTTTTTGAGAAGCAACACTTTTAGTTTGTTTTTAATGTTAATTTGATAGTGGTTTTTTTTTTTTTTTAACAAATCATGAAGCTGAAAAACTTTTAGGATTGTTGGTGCTTAGTAGACTTGATAACTGTTTTAAAACTGCGTGAATTCAGTGAGACAAAACCTTCTCTCTCATTCTGCATGTGTGATGTTTGTAGCCTGGCCTCTCCTCCAGGGCAGAAAGGACTGTGCCGACTAAAGGTTTGGCTTTCTTTTCCTCCAGTGAAAATCTTGGTACCTTCTTTGATGTTTACATTAAGATATGACATTACACATGGTAAGTCTAAGATATTTCTAGTTGTTCTGTTTGAGGAAGATCATTAAAGGAAAAAGAAAGTTTGTCCAAAAATCGATCAAATCTGGGGCATGTTTCCTATCTTTTGATTCTTCTGAAGTTCCCCCTTGAACTCATTAACAGCTGTCTGCAGTAGTCCCCAGCCTGACAGTTGTTTCGGGTGACGTTGAGAGGGAGGAAGAAGTTTCTGTCCTTCCCATGTGTTCTTTAATGCATTTGAAGTAATGAATGTCATTGTTTCTGACCCAGTAGCTCTAATTTTGTATTTCTGAGATATCTTGAGACTAATATATATATATATATATATATTTCTTTTTAATATATATATATATATATTTCTTTTTAAATTAAGATGAGCCCAGGGGATATTTCAGAAGAGCCCAACCTTCCTGGTGATCATTCAAGCATAGTTTTCTGGAAGGTTATTTTGATAGAACATTTTAAACTGGGTTGAAAGTGGCAAGGGGAAGGTAGAATTACATCTGTATGACTAGGAGTTAGTCTATGGCAGCCATCTCCAGCCTCCTGGAACTCCCAGACACTGTGGGATAAAAGGCGGCCTTGGATAAGGACTAGCCAACTCCAGGATCAATGACGGCCACCTCTCTAATTTAGTTCCCTCTTTGTGCTCGGGACTGAGCCATTGCTACCTGGCTTCCTGTCTCAGACCGAGCACTCTTTTGAGGTGGCAGATGTGGACCTACAAACTGGAGATATGTTAATGGATATTACACATCACAGCAGGGAAGTGGAGCTAGTGGGCCAGGGTACCACGCTCTGTGCGTGATGTGACATCCCCATGTATTTTGGGTGTGTTTTAGGTTAAACAAGACAGCTTTTGCCACAGGACTGGTTTTCTAACTCTGTGCCCAAACAAGAAGTAGGACTCCCCCATGATGAGGCTGTCCGTCCCATCGTGACAGCCCTGCCCGCACACATGCAGACCCACAGGACAGCAGCACACGCTGGGCAAGTGCTCAGAGCCGTTTTGCTAATCCAGATGGAACTATGCTGTCAACTCCGGTTCACCTCTTGTCAGCGGAATATTGCCTAGTTTTCTTTTCTCATACTTGAACCTCTAAAACAATATCAGTTTTTAAATTATTTATATTTAGCTAAAGTCACCTGTGCTGTGTGTGCCCTATCATCTTATAGAGAAACACTGATGGTGGGATGCCTGGATGAGGAACCCATCAGATTGCAGTGACATTCTCCAAGTGGTTATTTCTAAGAAATGACACTAGCTACTCCCTAGGTGACTGTCTGAGTGTTCCCATCTCTTCCTTTTTCTGCAGCAGGTAGAGGATTTGTTTCTGTGTTTTCATGTTCTGCATACAGTGCGTGTTTGAACCCAGCTCCCTCCTGTCTTCCTGTCTGGACTCAAAGGAGCCTATCACTTAAGCCCAGCATCTTGTAACAGTCTTCAGCAGTCTCATCAGAACCGTTGTGAGGTCTTACTGCTGCTCTTGGCTGTTACTTGGGTATTTTGGCAGGGTTAGTTAGTGTCATGATATAGCTTCTTTCACTCATTAGATTCAACCTTAGAGCTCAGATGGAGCACACATACATACGTGTGTGTGTGTTGTGTATATATATATATGTTTGTTTACATACATAAGCACACCTTTTTTTTTTAAAGAAAACTTGATAGCTCTGTGATGCTCTTCTGGGTGGATTTCTTCTGAGGTCATTTTATGATTTCTTTCATTTCTTTGTTTTTTTTATCAGTGGAGTTTTGTTGTCCTTGCCAGTACTGTTTTTACAGTACACCACAACTTGAGATATTTCTTTTCCCTCCTCCCTCTTTTCCTCCCTCCCTCCTTTCCTTCATCTTTTTCTTTCTTTCTCTTTTAGGTGATAATTCATGCTAAGTTTGGTCCCCCTTTCCCTCTTGATCTAAAAATGGATTCCTGTTGAAGTCTGACCAGCCTCATTCCTGTATCATGGATATTTTCTGGTGTGTTTTCTTCAAAGAAGCCCATTCTAGCTCTGCCATTGCTAATCATAACATCTTGTCTTGATCAGTCCGTGGTTAATTACTGACCATTCAGACTAACGACCTCAGTCTTCCTGGCCTCACACAGACATGCTTTCTGTGTGGGCCGCCTTGCGTGCGGAACGCATCCAACTGCCTGGTGTGGGTTATTTTTGTATCATTTCGTTCTAATCAAGATTCTAGGATGAGTTCAGGTTTGGTCTGAGCGTCAACTGATCTTTTCTGTTCAGAGAACTGCAGGGTAAGTAAGTTAAGCAGAAATCTTGTGGAATAAGCATTACCCAATTAAACACAGCTGTCTCTTGAGCCTATTTAGGGAAGAGGGTTCCTTGTTTCCGAAGGCACTGCAGTCCTGAAGAAGCTAACTGGCTTTAACCTCGAGCTCATATGTTGTGTTGTATTGCCCTAGTGTAGCCGATGGTTCTGTTGGATCGGTTTCATTCCGAGAGCACAACTGAAAACCTAAAAGAACGTATCTCTAACCACTGTGACTAAGGGGCAGGGTGTGTAAACAATTGTAGGTTAAATCTGAGTATTTCAACTATTGTCATGGAATAAGTTAGATGTCCTTAAATAGTTGACTTTTAGGAGGTGCCCATGTGTGAAAGATGCCATGCGTGAAATCATTGCATAGTGGAGAGTTTTGTTAATAGAAAAATTCTATAAAAATGAAAGATTCAAACTTCCCATCTAGTAAAACATATACATTACTGCTTTCAAATCTTACTAGACTATTCATCCTTCCCCGCCCACCTTTCCCACTTCCTCAGAGTTCAGCTTGCCTTTTCGCCGTAAGTCGACAATGTTTTTCTTGCCTTCCCTTCTGCATATGGAAACCGTGCTTCTACCAGAAGCAAAAAAAAAAAAAAAAAAACCCATACAGGTACACATGTCTTGGTAGCTCTGGCTTGTCTTCTGATCGCCGTTCAGACTGCCTAGAAAAGAGAACGGTGCGTTGGCCACTTCCTGTTCCGAAGATCACTTAGTATGTCCCCCATCATCGTGTGCCCAGACAGAGCTCACATCACGTCGGTCTGCAGGGCGCTCACATTCCCTTTGACAAGGCTGCTAGATTCACACTTGCCAGCTTGATCCCTGTTTAATATGCAATCCCAAGACCGCTGAAGGGGGGGGATCTTCACTAGAATTTAATGTCCTACTATGATATCAGAAAAGTGGCATTATGTCATTGACTCTAAGCTAGAATATCAGGTTGAACCATTTTTTTTTTTTAAAGTTTTAGTGTAACATTCAGACACTCGAACCTACTAAAAATACTCTACTGCTTTGGAGTGATCTTTAAAGAAGGCCTCATCGAAAGGGAGGTACCGAGTAGAATCTAGACGTAGGCTTGAGAGCCACGGTTAAATCCCAGCCCATTTCTACAGTGGGAGCCTACAGCTTTCTGAAGTGAGTTTCAAGAAGTAGCCCATGTGTCTTGTCGTTTCAGTCATGAGCGTGGTAGACCAGACTTTACTTGCAATTTGTTCAACAGAGAGATTTTATTTTGATACAAATATTAAACATAAAGCATAGTAAGTTTTATATAATTCTATGAGTTCATTAAACAATATTGAGATTTTTCAGTATGTTTTAGGGGGTCTTTTTGGCTATTTCTACCTCATATGAGGTCTGTACTTTATTTAGCATACTAGCATGTGGTTGCCTGCCTTAGAATGATGTATGGGAGGGGAAATCAATATTACCTTCTAAGAAATTTTGATTTTTATGGAATATTGTTTTAGTATTTTAATGTTTGAAAGTAAGGGGGAAAGGGTGGCAAATTACATATAGTGATAGCTATTTACAAATCTGTCATATTTTAAGATTGTGAAATTGTGAGCAAGATAGAGCAAAAAAGAAAAAGAAAGTGATTGTGAAACTGAATGGCCTCAGCTTCCCCTGGACGGGTTGTTGACGTACAGAAGACCCCTGTCCCCACCCCCACCAGGGGGCCCACCACAGCTGTCCAGGGACCCCACTGGTCTAGAGAAAGTTGGAGCATTTTCCATTTCTTTACTCTTGGGTCACTTTAATAATTCTGATCCCATAAGTGGCCCATTCATGGAAAAAGCTCTCTCTACCTTTGGGGTCTCTGCCACTTCTCATTAGGGTGCAGGGGCTTTCATGTCTAGGGTGAGTTTGTCATTAGGGGCGGAGCTGCCGGGCTGTTACCTGGAAGCTGTGCGTTTGTGGGAAGAAGCCATCGGGTGCCCCGAGAGGGCATTCGCACTTCTCGAGGCTCTCAGTGCAGGAGTCCCTGTCCGAGGGTGGCAGTGACGAGCATCAGAAACATAGTCCCCGAATAATGGAGTCTAGAGCTTTTAATCCTTCTTCTCTGGTATGTGTGTTGGGGGCTAGGGCAAAGAATTTACTTTCATATTATATGTTTCTCAGGTTAACCAAGTTATTTGGGCTCTCTGCCATGCCAGCAGTGGTAGGGAGAACATGGGTATTGTATATGGCGGAGAAAAAGCAATTGTTTCTGATTCCCTTGCTACCTTGAAGAACTCTGTATGTTTGCGGAAGAGTTGAGGGGAGCACACCACCTCCACAGCATGAGTGGCCCCTAAGTCATAGCAGACATGGGTGGGCAAGTTACTGTTGAGAAAGAAACTGCCTACAACAGAATAAACCTGACAGGTCTTTGGATATTTTCACATTTGTGTGTTGTGTTTAACATTCAGCCTGGGCTGCAGCTCTGCGGGTATTGGGCTCTGCTTCTCTTTTTTCGTTTGGCTTTGAATTTACTGTTACTAGCAAGAAAACAAATCTATGTTTAAGGTAATAGAGTGTAGAAAGGCATAGGTGTAGAGGTATAATCCACAGTGGCCATCCTAGAATGCAGTTTTAGAATTCTTAGCCCCCAGTACTTACTCCCTGAGAGGTCCGGAAGCTTTAGCTGCAGATTGCTGGCGTGCCCAGCACAGCTTCCTCTATGCACTCCCAGCTTATGAGGGATTTTGGTTTATTTGCGATTTGTCTTGCATGATACCACTTTGTATCTTTCAGGAGGTCCAGGTTAAAGTCCCAGAGCGTCAGTTATAGCTGAGACTGTTTCTCAGTAACACCCCTTCCCACACACACAGAGGAAGGGTCCTGCTCCTATAAATCCGTCTTTAAGACATTATATACATCAAGTACTGTATTTGGTCTCTGTGCCAGCCATCTGACCCAATTCTTTGAAAACCATAAAGGTAACAGTTATATGTAACGCTAGCATCCCTGGTGAATAGAGTGGTTCAGATACTTTCTCTAAATTATAAAGCTAATAGGGTTTGCATTTTAGTAAAGAGTCCTAATCGTTAGTGACACAGGGTCTTTCTAATGTTTTTTAAAAACTACAATTCTCTAAATGTGGCCAGCGGTGGATAGAGTCATGTAGTAGACTCATTCTGGGTCTTCTCCTGGGAAAACCTCTGTGAGGGAGGCCACGTAAAAAGCGCCCTGGTCCATGTCTCTTGCAAGCACCACTTATGCAGCATCTGATTACGCATAATCTCTGGCAAAAGTAATAACAATGACTACGTTCCGTTGCGGTCTATCATACCTCATGTGGGAGGCCCTAATACCTAAAGAGTTTATTCTTAAAAGTTAAGATGATTTTGTATCATAGAGAACCCCAAAGCTGTCCTCCGAGGCTTTTCTTTTCTCCTCTCTTTGTCTTTCCTAACTTGGTTTTTGGAATCCCTTTAGCTTATGCTACTTCCTTAGGACATGTTTTGAGCCCAGGAGTCTATGGTGTGATCATTGTCAGTGAAGTTCTTTTGTTTTAAAAGATTCATGGTAACACAAAATGTATTTTACTGCTACAACTAAAATGTATTTATAATAAAATGCCTTTTTAATAATTCGGAGCGTGTTTATTTTGTGTGCACTTTCTGTCTTTTCCTTCCATGTTGAAAAGGGTTGGAGCCACGAGCACACACAGAAAGCCGTAAAGCTCATGGGAAGGAGAGCCCACTGTCAAGAAGGAAGGTTGTGACTTTACGGAGAGCTGTGATGTAAATCACTTCAGCAGTAGCAAAAAGCCGTTTGGGCATAAGTAATGTCACCTGGAAGGTTAAAGGCAACATAGAAATGATCTTCAAGGTGTCAGTCTCTAGGTCAGGATCTATTTATGTTTTAGCACATGTTTGAATTACTCTTAACAAGTCTTGTAGTCATTAGTACCAGGCCTGTGTGGCTCGGAATTTGAGAGGTCATTAATCTAGTATATACTGATGTATTAAAGAGGGGCTGGTACTACACCTCACAATACATAGAGAATTGCCCCGAGCCCATCTCGTTTCTGTTGGAGAAATGTTTATGTCTGTGGCGATGCAGCTTTGAGATGCACTAGAAGGTTGCACACTGCTCCCCGTCTCATATTTTTTGTTTAACACCCCATTAATGTGGTGCCCCTAGTCTGGCTTGAAGGTACCATGCTTCAGGGCTGCCATTGCGAATTACATGGCTGGTCTTTCCCCGGGACAACAGCTTATAATCCATTGCACTGTATCTATCTTGTTAAAAAAATTTTTAGGTTATCTTTTGTGCGTGAATGTTTTGACTGCATGTATGTTTGCACTATGTGTGTGCCTGGTGTCTGTGGAAGTCAGGAGAGGTTATGGGATCCCCTGGGACTGGTGTTATAGATAGTTGTGAATCACCATGTGGGTACTGGGATCTGAACTCCAGTTTTCCGCAAGAGCAGCCAGCACTCTAATCAATGGCTCCTCCATTGCAAATAGACAATTTGCTTTATGTTGCTTAGACAGGGTGGACACCCACCTCTGGAATTTAAAAAGAAAAACTGGTTTCTTCCACATAAGTGTGGTGGATTCAGAGACTCCTGGAGTTGTGCTCTCTGCTCTGCAGAAGTAACCCAAGGCCCATGGTCAGTGAATAAATGCAAGGGTGACCCCTAGGTGGTTACTTTTAGCAGGCATGGTAAGTGGTTAATCACCAGCTTTCATCAGAACAGCAAGGTGAGAAATCCCACAGAAACCAGAAGGAAGGGAAGGCTGGGCTGGCATGAGTGTGTGTGTGTGTGTGTGTGTGTGTGTGTGTGTGCGCGCGCGCGCGCGCGCACTGTCACTGCTCTTGGTAAATCTAGAACACTCAAGCAGTCCTTAGCCTGTTACTGACCCTTCTTCTTCAATTACATGTTTTTGGAATTACATGGTTTTATCTCAACCAGTCAACTCCCTGTTAGATAGAAATCTTTAGGATTTGAAGAACTGGGCATTGCATGACCTTTTTATCCTGTTTATTCCACCAACAGTAGCTGTCCCCCTTTCTGGTCTAAGCTGTTCTCTGAGCACCCACAGTGGTTTTCCAATGCAGCATATTTTATTTTTAAATTATATTTTTACTATGTGGCTTGGGACTCAGTACATTGACCAGGCTGGCCTTCACCTCAGAGATCTGCTGTCCTCTGCCTCCTGAGTGCTGGCATTAAATGTGTGTACCACCACATTTGACACCACACATGTCCTGCATTTTTTAATGTGATGTTTGAAGAATCCAAGTTCTTTTGTTTTAAAAGCTCTCTGTCTCTCCATGTATGAGAGACAGCACATATGTGTGAGAATGCAGGGTGTTGTGTGTGTGTGTGTATGTGTGTGCACGTGCTACTACATACATGTGGAGATCAAAGGACAACCTCGGTGTCTGTCCTCACCACTTCATATGCCAAGCTAACTCTCAGGTCCTTCTGTCCCACCGCACATCCCACCATAGGAGCGCTGAGGTTACCCATGTTCGCTAGAGCATCCGGCTTTATTTAACTGGGTTTTAGGATCTAAACCCAGACCCTCACTCTTCATGACAAGCATTTTACCCACTGATGTACCTCCCCAGCCTCTACTAACTCAGTCCCCATGACCGGCTCCCAAATCTTGGTCTGGAATAAGAAACACCCCCAGCCTTCACAGACCACTCACTGAAGGGACCTTAGCCCACTGGAACATGTTGTAGATGGAAGTTTCTGTCCTGCAGTCATTCAGTCCCAAAGAAACACACAGGGGCCTATATTAATTATAAACTATTTGATCTATTATCTCAGGCTCATTATTAATTAGCTCTTACGACTTAAATTAACCCATACCTTTTGTTGGTGTTAGCCACATGGTTTGGTACCTTACTCAGTGCAACTTTCTCATCTTGCTTCCTCTGCAACTGCCTGGCGACTGCAGACAGCTTCCTGCCTGGCTACTGGTCAATCAGCATTTTATTGCTAAACCAATGCGAGTAACAATCTTCACAGCGAGTAAGGGCAGGCCTTGTATTTCTCCACTTACCTCTGCCTTGCTAAAGGCCACTAGATTACATTCCTAAAGCTAGCCCCAACATCTATTCCCTTCTTTGGCCACTTCCTCCTGAGGGTGACCACCAAAGTCCAGCAATCAAAGGCCCCCTTAGGCTCACCTAATTAACATGTCCAATTAAAATTTAACACCTCATCCTAACACGGGGTTTCCCTCTTGTACCTTTTTCCATTTTTCTATGTGCCACGTCTGCCTCCTCTCTATCCAAAGGCAGTCCTTTGTTCTTCCTAAGCAAATATGCCTGTCCCCTTTCCCTTCTCCCTCTTCTTCTATCTTCTGTCTTTGTCCCTTATCCCTGCCCTCTGTCCCTCTGGGGAAAATACATCTCCTTTGTGCTGAGGACTTGGTCTTGGGGTCCAGAGAGGATACTTTCCCTTTTCCTCACCATTTGCCCCCCAGGCAGCTCCTGACTTGCTTAGTTCCCTACTTGGTCTTGGACCACTCCCTTTCAGCCCCTAAGGCTACTCTGGGGCGCTCTTCTTACTAATCGAGACTGGGCAAATTCTACCTCCCCGGACTCCCCAGCTTGAACACTGCCCCCTTCCTCGGTGCTTGCAATGAAATCTCCATCTTTGTATTAAAGTGAAGAGCGTGTGAGCTCTGGATGGCAGAGATGGCAGTCCTTCAGGAGTGTTTGCTGAGTGGAATACCAAGGTTTAGTAGGAAGAGCAATTCAAAGATGCCCTCCCCCACTCCACTGGCCACAGTGTGGCCAGATGACAGCCCCCTCAACAAGAGGGATGACCAGGATGGAAGAATGAATAGGAAGCTGTGATGTTCCTACTTGCTCCATGCAGCTTCGAGTGGTAACAGCAGTGGTTAGTTCCCCAAGCCATTTTCTATCATACTGGGTGTCCCAAAACATTTTCTTTTACAGTTTCACTGTGGTTATACCAATTTTTAATATTTTTATTATTTATTTATCTATATTATTGTTATTATTATTATTTTGGGTTTTTGAGACAGGGTTTCTCTATAGCTTTAGAGCCTGTCCTGGAACTAGCTCTGATAGACCAGGCTGGCCTCAAACTCACAGACGTCCACCTGCCTCTGTCTCCCGAGTGCTGGGATTAAAGGCGTGTGCCCCACCGCCCAGCAGTTATGTTAATTTTGATGGATAGCCTGGTCTATGGGCCCATGGTACATACCTATCATAATCATGCAGAGCTCTGAAAATGAGATAAAATCCCCCTTTATCTGCAGCTCTGGCTGATGTGGAATCCACAAAGGGAGGGAATTAACTTGGCTAGAAGCTGCAGCTTGTAAAACCTACAGTCTAAGCCCAGCCTCGGCTCATTAAACCTGATGCTCTACCAATCGATTTAAACATTTTCAGGAGACAGTTGCTAATCCCCCAGCATGGGCTAAATGTGGGGAGCTGATGCCGAGGAGCCTGCGATGGACTCTGAGGGTGGATCTGGCTGGCTGATCACACGGAACCAGAGGAGAAGGCAACTTGGTGGTGTTTGCTCCTTAATTAAAAAGATGGGTAGATGACAAGCTGTCTGGATGTGGGTGGGTGCCTAAGAATATGGGTCAGAGACCTTGCACAGGACTCCAGAAATGTTCCAATTAGTACTGAAAATGCTCTCCCTCTTTCTCTCCCTCTCCCCTCCTCTCTCCCTCTCCCTTTCATGGTCTTGCTATGTAGCCCAGACTAGCCCTCAAACTCTTGTGCCCCTGACTCAGTCTCCCAGATGCTGGGTTTTATAACCCATGCGCCACAATGCCCAGCAAGCATTTGTTTTCTATACATGGAGTCAGGTGAACTCAAAGAGAAATAAACTCACAGGAAAAGGGGTGTTATCTTTGTTCCTGATGTTTCATAAAGCTAACCAGGAGTGACTGCTCTAGCCCAAGGGCTTTTCCAAGAGATGATCTTATAGATTCAGTCTCCTTAATTCTGTAACCAAGTTTAAAGCAAGATTCCATAACCTTGGACAAAGTCACAGATGACTGGAAAGTCGTCATCAGTTAGACCTTATCTTGTGGCAACCTCTGTTTCTGAAGGTGTTAGGTCTAGACAAGTATGACCCATAGACCCATGGGCTAATGGCACAGTCCCAAGCCTATGGTACAATTGAGAGTGGTGGACCCTTTAAGAAATGGGACCAAGTTGAGTCTTTAGGTCCCTGGGAGTACAACATCGAAGGGGATTATGGGACCCTAAGGAGGTGAATGAATCTGACCTGTTGTGTTGTTCCCCCACAGGTCTAAAGTGAAGGAGATAATCAGCCATGTGAAGCCTCCAAAACTGTGCACCAAAATACTTTCCTCTTTATCAGTTGATTTGTCCAAGATATCTGTTATAGGAATGGAAAGCTGACCAATGCAAGGTGAACCTACATGCAATCTAGGAACAAAATGATTCCTGTTGGGTTGGCTTACCAACAGGGTGGAGGATCAATTGTTTCGAGGAAGAAGAAGAAGAAGAAGAAGAAGAAGAAGAAGAAGAAGAAGAAGAAGAAGAAGAAGAAGAAGAAGAAGAAGAAGAAGAATGTGATTTAGTATAATTAAAGGTGGCTTTGGCTTTGTACCTC